GCCGAGCGGCGGTGGGAGCCGCCCTGCCCGCGGTTGTTCGCCTTTGAGCTGGGCTCCACTCGCGAGCAGGCGGCCGATCAAACGCGCTGGGGGGACCTGCTCCACCAGGTCGAATCGCGCGCCGTCGACCTGGCCCAATCGTCACCGTCCGTGGAGGGGGGGCCGCCCAATCGTTCGCCTCCGCTCTCGCAAGACGAACGTCCTTCACCGCCTTTGGCTACGGGGTTTTTACCCCCACTTGAGGAGTGGCTGAGCGAGGGGGGCATCGATGTCGTGGCTGCTGCTTCTTCGCCGTTATTTTCTGCATTTGCGGCGGCATCGGCAATGGGAGGTGAGGGCGAAAAGGCGGATCCTGGGACCCCTCCTAGTGAAAGTAGCGAAACGGCGATTTCAACAAACGGCGAGGACGGCAGTCTCGTGATGGGGTCCTTCGTCGAACTTCTCGATCGTCTTCTCCCGCCGATCCCGGCGGAGTTGGCACTGCGGGAGGCGGCAATGGCAAAGGGCGGGTTATCCACCCTGGTCGAGGAGAAGAATGAGCGACCTTCCTCCTCTTCTTCTTCTTCGACGAAAGGGGAAGGGATAAGATTGAAATCGCCAAACGCGCAGGAGGGCGGTACCGCGAACGATCATCCTGACAACGCGCTTTCGGGTATTCAACGGCAGGCAAGGCGGGAGAGTATGCTTATTAAGCTTGAGGCGGCGGAAGCACGGCGGATGCGCGAGGAGGATGCACGAATGGAACATATTTTGCTTGAAAGGCAGCTCGCCGAGGAGCTCATTAGAGAGGAAAAAACCCAAAATGACTTTTTCGAGTCCTACAACCAAAAGCGCGGCGTTATTATGCGGGAGGAGGAATTTTGCGTTAAGGAACTTCGCCGCCACGAGCGCTATTCCTTGCAGAGTGTTTTTAGGCAAATCGAAGAGCGAAAGAAACGTGAAATTAAACAGTTTAGTGATAAATTAATTGCCGAGTTTGAACTTCTTCAGATGCAGATAGAAGCATCCTACAAGGCAGAATTAGTTGACTTTGAATGTCAAAAAGCAAAAGATTTGCTTTCAATTCATGAAAATATTCAGTCAAAGCTGAAAAAGGAAGAAGAGAAGCTTATTCAGGAAGCTTCTTCTCCCCCTGGCGCCTTGGGCACGGCGAATATGCAATCCTCTTCGTTTTTTACACCAGAAGGACTAAAGGACGTGGGGAATTTCCGCACGGAGGCTCTTTTGAAGGAGTATGAGGCTCGCATAGGGTGGCTGCGTTTGCGTTATGCGGAGCTCACGTCTTTCATACCGTGCTTGCAACAGGAGGTGAATGTTCGACGGCGGCAGTTTTGTGAGAGCGGGGCCCTCGTCTTCTCGCGTACGGGGAATTCAAACAAGCCCATCGAAGAAAGCCCGATGACTAAAGTCGCTCCTCTGCTTTCATCCCCCTGCCCCCCCTCTCCTTCTTTTTCTTCGTTTTCTTCATCCCCTTCTTTGGATCATTCTCCTCACTCTCTGGTCGTTCTCAATGCTGAGATGTTTCACCGAACGCAGGCCTCTCTTTTTCTGAATTTAACGGAGGCCGGCATGGAGGCCTCGCGCCGTTTTCACACGCTTTCCTTTTCGTTGGAAAATATTCAAACGGTGGATTGGAAAAGCCTTCATTCCGTCCGTAGGAATAGTAATAATACAGGTACTTCTGTGTGTGTTTGGGTGCGCGATCTTGATATTGGAAGCAACACGCTCGAGGAGGTGGCGCTTTCGGATTTCATCACCACCTTTCCCTCCCTCCGGCGGATAAGTCTGTCTGATAATCAAATTACAAGTTTAGACCACGGAAGGAATTCGGTCAGAGTTTCTTCCGCGACACTTTATATTCGAAGTGTGGCGAGCGTGCAGCAAAACGCGATTTCTGAGCGTACGAAATTATCCGATCTTAATATAGCCTCAAACTTATTAAAAGATATCGATACCGTGGGGAAGTTTCTCTCGCACTCAATCACTCGACTTTGCGCGTACGCGAATCAACTCCATTCGATCGAGCCACTTCGCTCCTGCCTTCGACTTACAAAGCTTGAATTAAATCGAAACGCTCTTTCAGATATCGAGCCGCTTGAATCCTTAACATTCATTCAAGAGCTCAACCTCTGTGATAACCAGATTACGCAAATAAGTGCTCTTTCAAAGGGGAGCTGGCCGCTATTAGAGAAGCTTTACCTTTCCAATAATGTGCTTACAAGTTTGCTTTCACCTCAAGCAGAATATTCGAAAACGATGAACGATCCTCATTGTTTACTTCTCTCACAGTTGTTTGTGAACTACAACCGGTTTACGGCCTTTTCAGAGAAGGAGCTCCCGTGGATGCCGATGTTATCTGTTTTGCAAGCGGAGGGAAACCAGCTTCAGGATATTTCTGGCTTCGTGCGCTGCCCTCGCCTTTTGATTATTAAATTACCGTTTAATCAACTTAGCCATTTATCGACTTTAAACCCTTTGGGTGTGTGCAAGCTGTTGGTAAATATCGATATTCGAGCAAACCCCTTGATGGCATCCTTGACGTCAGCACGAGGTGGATCGGCCAATTCAACCGGGTTAGATTCCGCTCATAGCGCGTGGATGGGGGAAGCGAATTCGTTCATTGCCTTGTTCCGACAAATCTTTCCACGTCTTAGGGAGCTTAATAACGAATGTCAATCTCCTTCCTCGTCAGACCTCTCCAGAGAACCTCCGGGAGAGACTTTGATCGATGCGGAGGGCCATGGCGATCGTTCGCGGGTGATGAAAGCACTCACCGCGGATAAATTTATTATTGACTTACGTACTCGACGAGAGGACTTGTTTGTAGTCCATCGTCATCGTTTTCATCACGCCCAGACACTTGAAAAGGATATGTACGATAAGGTGAAAAAGTGCCGTCGGACGAACATTCCCACAAATGATTTGTCTTCGCTTGCGGTGGAAGATGAGCAGCAACTGGAAACGTTCGAATTTCTCCAGAAGATTTTGAAAGTTTTTCTGGAAAGCGTGGATACCGCCTTTGATGGGGATTATAGCCGTCTACTTCGCCAGATCCCGCAGGCGACCTCGGCTAGGGCGAAAAAACTTCGAGAATCGCAGGCGGGAAATCGATTAGCTTGGTGGATCTTAAAACTTGTTCTCTGCAGGCGCGCCGTGCGCGAGCTTGAAAAAAGAAAAAAAGACACCAAGGAAAAGGAAAAAGCGATTAAATACGAGGCCGCTGTTCGACTAATTCAGCCGGTCTGGCGGGGAGCCGTCTTGCGTTCTCGTCTAAAGCGCATACTGCATGCTCATCAGAAGGATTTGGATCACGATAAGGATCTCTTCGAGAAAGTTGAGCTTCCGAATAATATAGATGAATTGAATATTAATGGAAATGACATTACGGGTATTATCAGGCGTGCGGTTCGCGATGACATTTCATCTTTACCACGCTTTGAGGTGGATTGGTCCCGGCAGCGGGAAGAGAAGGGGGCCTCCTCAGTCCCGAGAACCGCGGAGGCTCGCCCGCGGAGTGTTATGAATAAATCTAATTTACTAATATTCGAGGACGCCTCCCCAAGGCCGCGAACAAGCAGCCCTCCACGCGACCACGAAGAGCCAATAATGGAAAGAGGTGGTGGTGATGGCGGTCAGCAATGGGAGGCTTCCGTAGCTTTGCAAATCCAAAAAAAACGAAAAAAGATGGAGCGTGTGCATCAGCAGCACCTTGCTGAAGAATTCATCAAGGATCCGTTGAAATTCAAGCAGAAAACGTATCCAAGTATTACTAGAAAGTCTAAATAATTCCATCCCATCATGAAGAGGTGAGTGAATTTCAAAATCAAAAAGAGTAAAAGAAGTTTAGAGACACAGAAATTTGTCAAGGGTTCTTCCATATCTACGAGAGAGGGAGTACTACAATGATGTACAGAATGAACTTCGGTTCTAGACTTTATTTGTATGTGGTCTTTCTCTTTAAAATACGTCGTGAGAACTAGGGAACCTGAAGACTGGAATTACCATACTTTGCTTTAAGATGTTCGTTATATCAATATATATTTACATATATATTAAACTGAGATGGCGAGACAAAAATAGAAATGAAAAATGTATGTAGATCAAACTATTAATTTGAACCGTTTTAAGTGTAATATGTCCGATAATGTTAATCATCTTTCCTTTTAATCTATTTTAGTTTTTTTGCCTCTATTTTTTAAATTTTATTTTTGTATCCGTATTATTTTTTCTAGTAGCTTCTATATCCCCTCCCCTAATATATATATATATATATATATATATAGAGAGAGAAGAAGGAGGAGGAGGAGAG